CTCTGCTGTTGTTGTTTTTTTATTGTTTGGTTTGTTGTTGGTCTCTGTATCCGACTAAAACCTTTTGCGCACTACTTTCGGTTGTTATTTTAATTCTTATTAAGACTAAACTTGTGCCCTTATTTACGGCTCTGACTAGTCATTGTGTCATTTCCACAAAAACAAAAATCTTTTTTCAACAAAGTATTTTCAAGAAAAAAAAATCAGTGTTTTTTAAAGCCCTGTTGGAGCTGGATTAGTTTCTGCGATGTAAGGTATGGGATTTGATTAGCCACTCGGCTTGGGATGAAATATTTATATCATTTCCAATTTCCCTCAGATAGCCTGGATTGAAAGGCCATAGCTCGTCTTCAGTAACCAGAGCTACGTTTCCATCACTTTCTGCACAAACTACAAGCCATAACATGGTAGTAGGGATGCTGGGGGAGCTGCGGACCCCCTCAATTTAAAATCATCTCTCTGCATCTCTCAGTTGTTTTTCTTCAACCATTGTAATAATCTCCCACTAGATATGGCTGTGCAGACAACTGTGACACAACTGGTTTCCACACCTCATATCAACAATCTGATTTGTCAACATTCGGCTCATTTGCATAAAGTTAGTCTGGCAACAGAGCAGAGAGACTGCAGGGTGTGCATCAGCGGTTTCTGTGGTGCTTATATGTGCATATCTGCGTTTTACCACAATTCAAACATAGCATTGTCATCATAGTGACGTCATCGTGTACGTCAGCTATATGCTGAAAAAAAGTTCAGCACCCTCAACCTGAAACATCTGTGTTGAAAAGGTTTGGGATATAAATGCTTTTTTAATGATATCATTTCCTGCAAAAAAACTGTTGTCGCGTAAAATTTTATCAGTAAAAAAGTTGCGTTTGATGATAATCAGGTATGTCACAACTTGTGTACCTTTGGCTTCCTTAACGTCCCCATAACCTTCTGATAAGGACATATTATTTGCTTGCTAAATTTTTTTTATTATTATAATTATTTTAATCTGGAACTGTTACGCGAGAGATCCTCTTCCTCTGCCTCATAGAGCCGTTTAAGCACTTTCTATTTAGAGAGGCATTTCTGTCTATCTCTCTCTGTAAGAGATGAAAAGGGACAGTATTCTTTTTAAAAACGCTCTCGTCTCCTCCTCAGTCCAGCCTGACCTCTCCCACCATGCTGTGGCTAACTAACTTTGTTAGTTAGTGATGGTTGTAAGAAGCATGTAAGGGAAATCTGTCACATGATGCTAAATTTGCATAACAAGCATTTCCAGTGGGGTAACATTTCGGGTTACAACAGGGGTGTCAACCTCCACCACTAAATGAGCCATATTAAAAAATCTCAACAGATCTGTGGGCCGGCTGGCCACTGTTTATTCAAAACATGCCGAAACTGCAACAGCAAAATGCATTAAATACTTAAATACCTATTTCAAAATAATTTTAAATAAAAACTTTTTTTTAAATAAAACAATAGACTTCATATAAAACAATAGGCTACATTGCTACAGGTAACTGTTATACCTCTTCAAATGCCCTGAATGTACAGTAGGTTTTCAGACCTGCCTGTTTGCTTGAACTAAACACCTGGCGTTTTTTCTTTTTATGGTGCTGTCCCATGGATGCACATTATGTTGCAATGCATGCTGGGGATTGTAGTGCAGCTCATGGTGAAATGGGCTAATATTAATCGAAATTTAACCTCATTTTGCTGGCTGAATAGGATTGTGCCACAGGCCTGACTTGGCCTGCGGTCCTTGTGTTTGACACATGAGGGTTACAGTGTGAAGTTTCTCTGCTGAAGTTGTTCCATTTCAATAACCTACAGAGATTAACTTTCCAAAGCATTTTAGAATCTTTTATAATATGATTCTTTTGTATGGAAACGTAGCTATCAACATCACACAGCACAGCCTTCTCTGATAGCAGATTCTGTTAGTCCATTAGTGTGAGCTGGACTGCAACAGCAACGTAGAAAGACTGTAAAAAACTATACACATTAAAGATCCATACTGGACTAAAATCATGAATCTCGTCAGTAATCACTTAAATCGCTTAAATCACTTAAAACTAATATGGTTTAGTATAGTATAAGGCAGGCGTGTCCAATCTTATCCACGAAGGGCTGATGTGGCTGCAGGTTTTCCCCTTAAAACAAGCTGGAGCTCACCTGATTCCACTTGTTTAATCAGTTGGTTTAACAGAAACTTCCTATCTTTTTGTCTTAACTTAAGTTCTGACAGGTCAAGATAAGATTTTTTCACAAATTCGTATTACAGAAGCAAATCTGATCTTAATTTAGGAATCTCATCTTATCTTACAGCATCTTTTCTTATCTCAAGTTAGGAGATCTTAACTTTCTCGATTGAAGTCGACAATCAACGGTCGTGTCTGTTGTCTAGCAACCGACCATACGCGCACAGCTGAAACGTAAACACGTAATCAAGCTAGTTAGCCAGACAGCTAACATTAGCTACCGTTACTGAGGTAAAAAAAGTCAAGCAAAACTAAAGCGCGATAAACGCGTTAATAAAGTTAATAAGAAAGTTAATAATGTTGTGTCAGCGCTTCGTGTTGTTTATCAGAGCGTCGCCTCTCTCAGTTTCAGTCTCCATTTCCCCAAACGCTTTAGCCGAGCGCGCTAACGATACTCCTCCTAATAAACACACACACGTTCTGCTCTCTCTCCTCATTGTTCACCACCATCACTGTAATATTGTATCTGATGTGTTTTCATCAACATGAACACATGAAGGTAGTAAGAGGGGGCGGTGGAGGTCGTGTCTGCTGCGTCTGGGGCTTTTAAAAAAAAACTCAAGTGAAAGCAGCGTTTTCAGTGTGGATAAATGTAGCATCATTATGCTGGTTATAGTGAACCGTGCTGCCTGTCACTGCATAAAACAGTAGATACACACGGTTAAAACAGAAGTTAAGACACATCTGCGGTTTATCGTAAAGTTATGAAAATATTTAGATATTTTTAGATATTTTGGTGACTTATAATGTTTCTGTAACACCGTTTTCTTATCTGGAAATAAGGTAAGATTATAGACTTAAGAACTGTTGTTCTGTCCTAACTTCAGTCTTAACTGAAGTTACCATGACAACAAAGCAGATAAGATATGATCTCAGACTTAAGAATTTTCTGTAATATGACCCCAGGTGATCTCCTGCTTTGTTGGAGTGAAAACCTGCAGCCACACCAGCCCTCTGAGGATAAGACTGGACACCTCCGGTCTAAGGGCAGCTTTACACCTACCTTGTCTGATGCAGACTAATCAAACTTCTTCTTTATTTCGGTCTGTTTGGTCAGGTGTGAAAGTTAAGATTAAGAAGCTGAAGTTGTTTAATGGAGGCAAACTTGAAAGTAACAGGACGCTTGTATGCCCGGCAAATGTCTGACCAGTCAAGGAAAACAGAAGATACACGTGAATTATTTAGTCCACTTTGGCCGTTGCAGAGTGAAACCAACCGAAATGAAACAGATCTAAAGTCACAAAAACCCAAAATCTAGTGTGGACTTGAGCAAACAAACCAGGAGTGAAACCAGACTAAGACTCAGACGAAGTGGCTCTAATTTTGACTGTAATTTCCTTGAAATTCAGCAGATGATTCTGTTTGACCGAGAGAGACACAGCAGATGCCACTGCTGCTCATTTTCACACGCCGAGCGCTCATCCTGCCGCTGTCTCGAGTGACTGTCACTCAGATGGTGATGGAGTCAGCTTGTGCACATGTGCGCTGTGTTGATCTTCGCGTTGAACCCTCTGTTTTGTTCTGTCTCTCAGACCTCATCCGTTCACAGGAAGCCAGCGTACTTCCTGTACATATCTACACATTGTTCCGTACCGAAGAAACAGACATTTTAAAGAAGCAAAGGTTAGGCAAGCCTGGTCATGACCAAACTCACAACACAGCTTCTGCAAAATCAACGTGGCTTCGGATGAGGTTCGTCCTCCACTGTCTGAAAAAAACGGTGTCACTCAAGAACCGAAATCACAGGGAGCTAATTTATGCACACAAAGTCTTTATTTATCTGTAATAACACAATGCAAAGCAATAAATTATACACTGGTCATACAATTTCCATTTAAGGACACTTATCAAGTCTAATACAGCAAAATAGTGATAAGGTTTAAATACAGCTTCTGCTTTTTCATGCATATAAATATATAAAGCATATCTCTTCTGTACTGCAACCTCACTAAATCCTTCTAGAAAATTAAAGAATAGAACGCATCATCACCGAAGAACTGCAGACCAGCTTACACTAATTTGGTACTGGTTAGTTCATTCATTGTATATATTCTTTGAAACCGCTACAGGTTAGTGGTTCCTTGGCTTGTAACAGTGCATATAATCAGAACTGTCCACTGACAATTTCTGGTGGTTATAAAAAGTATATGAAAATATACACAGTGCCATTTAGGTTCGATGTACTTACAAAGTTTTTACATTTTGAAGAAAGAAATATGAATATGAAATATGAAAATATGAAAAGTTATACTACACTGCAAAAAATGGCATCTTAGCGAGTGTAAACATCTTAAATGTAGTCAATATATCTAGTATTTCTCATTGTGAGACTGTTGTAAGAATGTTGTGAGATTATTGAACTGATTTATAGACATTTTTAAGCAGTTGTATCTTACAAAAGTGTCTTATTATTATATTGGCAGATCATGTTCCTTGTTTTTAGCATTTTTTCTTGAAATCAGCAAAATGATCATTAATTCTCGAAACAAGTAAAACAATCTGCCGGTGGAATAAGACACTTTCACCAGATAAAACCACTTAAAACAAGTAAAAATGTACAGAAACACTTGGAATAATCTTGTCATATTCTTACAACAGTCTCATAATGAGAAATATTAGATTTATTGACTACATTTAAGAAGTTTTCACTTGTTAAGATATTTTTTGCAGTGCACTATCAGTAAGAGATGAATGGCTTAAGTTATATATCATCGCTCTCTAAAGAAAAACAAGTATCTCCAAAATGGTAACTTTTCAGGAGAGGGCAAAAACGATCTTTACTTTTAATGTAAGTCAATGTGAAGATATTTTATTGCAAGTAATTTTAGAGCATTTCTATTGGTCCATTCATCATGAAATTTTCACACAATGTAAAGGACGACCGCCGTGTTCAAACGATGCAGAAAACTAAAAATCGCCAAAAATGGATGCGTTTTCCTTTGGAGCTACAGGACGATCTTAGCAGTATTGTCTGCCTTCTGACTGACAGTAAAGTGAAGCTCCTCCAAAGTCACCCCCATCTCCAGCAGCATTTCCTTTGGGACGAGGCGAGCATGACGAGACACGTACACCTTCTCCAGGTTGTTATTCATAGGAGATCCTACATAATCTGTGCAGGATGGCCCGGCTAGGCTTGGGGCACACACGACCTGCGTTTTGTAATACAGCTCACCGTAATCTAACTTGCAGAAATTCTGCGTCTCGCCTGCTTTTAAGTCCACCACGCAAGCTCCCAGCAGGTCGTCATCCCATTTGCTGTCTTCGTCCCACACCTCCAGCCTCAGAGAGTTGTGGTCCATCAGAATGACGTCACCCAGGTCAAAAGGCATGCCCCAGTGGGGGGAATTGTTGTTGTAGATAACAGGGGTGCGTCCGATCTCCATTTTGTTTTTGTCGTACACTTTCACGTACCCGTCTGTTTGTGTCGTGTGGTCCCCCCATAAACCGGATGCTCTTTCTATGGTGACCTTCACCCGAGCGAGTCCACGTTTAGACGGGCAGCAGTCAGGAGTCACCCCGGGGTTGTTTCGGCAGGTGCAGACGCATGGCTCCTTGGGATTGTGTTTAACGCCGGCCATGCAGGGTTCAGAGCAGTTTCTCCACAGCGACTTCTCCAGGATGAAGTCGTGGATGGCTTGGCGTAGGTGCTTTCGGACCGGATTTTTGGGGGGCAGCAGCTCATGAAGAGCCTCTAGCGAATAGGAGATGATATCTGGCTGTTGGGGCACAGTGGACAGCCACTCCTTATAGGCACCCGGGTCCTTATCTGCGGAGAAGAGGAGCTCGGGCTCAGTGGTGTGGCCGCCATATATCTCAGTGAACCTTTGAGAAACGAGAGAGAGAGAGTGCGAGTTAATGAGGACATCTGCTTTTCATGTAGATTAACATTGAAAAGTCTGGAGTCATATTTTGTTGCGCAAACTTGTTATACATTGTAGATTTAAATATTAAAAACTAAACAGTATTCGTCTTACATACTTCTCTTGATGTTGTGTTCGATATTTTGTACATTTACAGTAATTTCTGTCAACCTATCTGGAGTTGATCACCAAGAAACATTCTGGAAATTAATTATACTATAATTTCATTGGTGCTCGACATATTTCTCAGCCATTTCAGAATCATTTACAGCTCTGTTCACCATTCTTCATCAGGTTTTCTGTCCTGTTTATTGACATGTTGTGTGGCACACGCATCAGTTTAGAATCTACCACAAAATTGGTTTGATATTATTGATAATACAACCCCATTTCCAAAAAAGACGCTTTGAGATGCTTTGTAGATGTAAATGTAAATAGGATGCAATGATGTGCAAATCATTTAAACCCTATATTTCATAGAGAATAGTACAAAGACAACATATCAAATGTTGAAACTGAGAAATTTTTATGTTTTTTGATAAATATATGCCCATTTGGAATTTGATGCCAACAACACATTCCAAAAAAGTTGGGACGGGGGCGTGTTTACCACTGTGTTTCATCACCTCTTCTTTAAACAACACTCTGTAAGCGTTTGGGAACTGAGGAGACACTGCTGTACTACTTTTTTGGAACGTGTCGTTGGCATCAAATTCAAAATGGGCAAATATTTTTCAATAAACAATAAAATTTCTCAGTTTCAACATTTGACTTGTTGTCTTTGTACTATTCTCTATGAAATATAGGGTTTAAATGATTTGCACATCATTGCATTTTGTTTTTATTTACATTTTGCACAGCTTCCCAACTTTTTTGGAGATGGGGTTGTAGTTTTCAGACACATATCCTGCAGCTGTTAGGCGGCAACAAAGGCGCCTATCTTTCACAATGCTTAATTGTACGACCTACTAGAGTGACACACTACACTATGAGTCACTGCTCTCGGTGAGAAACCCACCTGTCATTGAAGTTGCTGGAAAAACTGCCTTTACTCTCCGTCTTGGACTTGGCTTCGTCACAGTGCTTCGCGTCTGCTTTCGCGTTAGCCTTTCCCATCACGCTGGCAGACGCCTCCACCTCAAGGCATATCTTTACTTCATCCGAACTCAGGCCCTGCAAGGCTGCCTGACACTGCTTGATACTGGTCACTGAGTGGACCTTCCCTCCAAGGGTTACCTGCCCAGAGGAGCATTTGGGAACAATGTCATAGACCTGTGATGGTACTGGAAGTGGTTGAAAATGACCGGTGCATTTTAAAAGCAGTAGTTGGGTAAAAATCTAATTTTGGCTTTATCTCAAATGCAGTCAATCAACCAAGACACGTTCAGTTTCTGAAGTTTGCTAATTTAAGCTACATTCACATTAGAAGCCTCGTTGCTCAAATCTGATTTTTTGCTCAAATCCGATCTCTCTGACTCGATGGTTCACACTCGTTTAAGTAAGTGACTCAAATCTGTCATTAATGTGACGAACCGGCGTCCTGAAATGACCCTAATGAGCTCATCCTACTCAGTAACGTCACGTGAATGAATCACGTTCATCATCAGCACAAACTAACGAGCAGAACGAGCTTCGCTGAGAAGATCATTAACTCTGATCAGCTCTCAGCTTCATTATTAGAGCGAGGCGAAGGAGAAAAAGGTGAGATGAGCTGCTTTTCCACTGTTTACAGGCTTTAACTTCTGTTCGGCGCTGCTGCCATGGTGACGCTGAACGATGGCGCAGGCGCAGTGGAAAAAAAAGCACATGAATTCCGATCTGAGCATCACATTAAGGTCGCATGGCCACGAATTGGCTACGTATCCGATCTAGGACCACATATGAAAGTGGCTCAGGTGGGATTTAAAAAGAATAGATTTGCGTGTCCACGCAGCTCTGAAAACATCAGATCTGAGTCGCATTGAAAAACGGATTTGTGCCACTTCAGCCTGGTAATGTGAACGTAGCCTTAGTTTTGCACTGGACAAGGCTGATGTAGCTCGTACATACCAAAGGCACATTGCCAACCAATCAGCAACATCATCCAATGTATTTTTTGCTGAACTACGAATGGCTCAACAAGTGTGACTTCATTTTAGATGCCGTTTTTTTGGGTACTGTCCAATTTGTCACGAGGACCAGTCGTTCCTAAAAGGCATTCTCTCAACTTGACAACTACCTTGGTTTCTTGTGTTGTAGACTAAATGGGTTTTATGTGGTCCATCAAGCCGAAATTGTGAAAAGGACGCAGAGATTTTGAATAGTGCCTCACATGCTTTGCTGGATGTGGATCTCAGAGTTACCTTGGTGATGAAGTGTGTGCCGAAGTTGTCGATAAGCTTGTAGAAACGTGGCTTGAACTGGGCGTTGTACTGCTTGGGTAGCTGACTCACAGAGCGTTTAAACTCAGGATGGAGAATACGCTTGTTGGAAACCCTGTAACTGGAGATGGGAATGGAGAGTGAACTGATTGAACATACAACATATGCTTTAGAGGTGGTCAATATGGCAAAAATACATCACGATACTTCAAGACATTTTCTTGATAGTCGATATGCATCACAATATTTAGTTTTTCTGAGGTTTGACAAGATGGAACAGACACAAAAGGAAGCACTGGGTTCCAGTTCAACCAATATCAGCAATATACTCAGAAAAGCTTTTTTGGCACATAATGTAATGTGCAACGCTTTTTTCCCCAAAAGTTGGGACGCTGTGCAATATGTAAATAAAAACAAAATGCAATGATATGCAAATCATGTAAAGCATATTTTTAAAGGAAAATACTACAAGGACAACATATTAAATGTTGCAGCTGAGAAATTTGATTATTTTTTGAAAAATATATGCCCATTTTGAATTTGATGCCAACAACACGTTCCAAAAAATTGTTATCAGCGTACAGTTCCAAAGCCAGGATTCATGATGGTTTACCACTGTTTTTCATCACCTCTTCTTTTAACAACACTCTGTAAGCGTTTGGGAACTGAGGAGACCAATTGTTGGAGTTTTGAAAGTGAAATGTTTTAATTTTTGTTTGATATAGTATTTCAGCTGCTCAACAGTTCAGGGTCTCCTTTGTTGTATTTTTCATTTTATAACACTATAAATGTTCTGAGTGGGTGACAGGTCTGGACTGCAGACAGGTCAGTTTAGCACCCAGACTCTTTTAATATGGAGCAATACTGCTGTAATACATGCAGAATGTGGTTTGTCATTGTCTTGCTGAAATAATCAAGGCCTTCCCTGAAAAAGACGTTGTCTAGATGGCAGCATATGTTGCCAAAACATGTATATATTGTTCAGCATTAATGGCACCTTCACAGATGTGCACGTCACCCGTGCTATGAGCACTAATGTCCCCCTATACCATCATGAATACTGGCTTTTGAACTGTGCACTGATAACAAGCTGAGTGGTCTTTAGCCCGGAGGACACAGTGTCCATGATTTCCAAAAAGAATTTCTAATGTTGATTCGTCGGACCACAGGACACTTTTCCACTTCAGCTCAGTCCATTTTAAATGAGCTTGGGCCCAGAGAAGGTGGAAGCATTTCTGGATCCTGTTTATGTACAGTTTCTTCTTTGCATTTTAGAGTTTTAACTTGCATTTGTGGATGCAGTGATGAACTGTGTTTCACAGACAGTGTTTTTCAGAAGTGTTTCTGAGCCCATGCAGTGATTTCCTCTACAGAATCATGTCTGTTTTTAATGCAGTGCCGCCTGAGGGCCCAAAGATCACGGCCAGCCAATACTGGTTTTCGGCCTTGTCTGTTGCGTACAGAGATTTCTCCAGATTCTCTGAATCTTTTACTGATATTATGTACCGTAGATATCATTGTTCTAGAATCTGTTGCACTATTTGCTCGTGCAGTCTTTCACAGAGTCTTCCTCATCTTTACTTCTGAAAGACTCCGCCTCTCTGAGATGCTCTTTTTTACCTAATCATGTTACTGACCTGTTGCCCATCAACCCAGGTGTTTTTTTTTAACATTACACAACTTTACCAGCCTTTTGTTGCCCCCCATCCCAACTTTTTTGGATTGTGTCGTTGGCATCAATTTCAAAATGGCCATATATTTTTCAACAAACAATAAAATTTCAAAGTTTCAACATTTGATGTGTTGTCTTTATGCTATTTTCAATTAAATATAGGGTTTAAATGATTTGCACATCATTGCATTTTGTTTTTATTGACATTTTGCACAGCGTCCCAACCTTTTTGGAAATGGGGTTGTAATTTATCATGATAGTGATAAATATTGTCATATTTCCCTCCCCTAGTATGTGCTGTACTTGACGCATCATACGCTTGCTCAAAGTAGACAATACAGAAGATTGGATGACTTTTACTGGGACTGCATGATGCTGGAAAAACATGATAGGATGCATATTTTGGTTATTTTTCGTTTGTGTTTGTGAAACACCGTGTAATATATATATATAAAAAAAACATTGGTAAATCAATAATTAGATGTGGTTAAATATTGAATTATTTTGACCTTTTTTTTTTTGGATTGCATGAATGCCTTCATACATCAAAACATCCGTTTGGAACTATGGGTCAGGATGCTCTGAGGTTAGAGGGCTCACTTGCTTCAGTATTGCATATTAGTATTGGCAGTATTGTAATAACAAGGTCTTACGTGTAATATCCACAGGAAATGCTTTGACTGGCAAAGTTGAATCTGTCCTTTTTGGTTTTCTCCATTGAATACTCAGCCAACTTGGAGTTAGTGCCGGCCATCGTCAGCGACACGTCAGCCCTCTTTACGTTGATTCCCAGGTTCGCGCTCCAGTTGTTGTCGATAGCAGAGGTGCTGGAGCTGAGCAGGGATTCGCTGGACTGGTAAAGTGAGCTGGACAGCTTCATGCTGCACTTCTGGCTGGGTCTCCAGTCCACCACTGAAAGCGGCAGCTTCTGCTTCTTCCCCTCCATGTAGGGGTTTCTGCAGAGGGTGCAGGTTTTGTCCTTCAGTTTCCATCGTGTCATGTCGATGACGAAGGCCCCCTTTCGCTGCATCTTGGTGATGTCGAAGCCTTCCCCGGCCAGGTTGGATCCTGGAGCAAATTCGGCTTCGGCACACTCGCTGGGCTTTCCTTTTTCACATGACTGGATCAGGGGCAGGGAGAGGAAGACCAAAACTCCTGACCACAGAAGCACTGACGTAAGGGACCTTGTCAAATCGGTGCCCATGTCGATGCAGGAGGAGATGCTATTGACTTTCCTTCTCTGTGAAACACACATTATCCCTATTTATTCAGCAATTATTGCCTAATATTCATCAGCTGCTTTCAAACTAATCCCGTGACGTATGTACAGAACTCTGGAAAGGTCAGAGACCACCCTTTTGTTTATTAAATTTCTAGTTGAAATAGCCATTAAGTACAAGTTATTCATCTTTCAGCTTCAGAAAAAAAACAGGAAACATATGTGTGGTGTTGGGCTCTGCGGGACCCATTTTAGGTGTTCACCAAAAGAAAAATTATGCGATTTATTATTATTTCCACCTCTGATTCTTGGCCTTTGCTCATTTTCTGTGTAGAACATATAAAATAACCCATTTTCAGTGTCTTCACTCTGTTCACCCCCCACACATTCATATTACACATGTGGTGTTGGGTGAAACTGCGGGGAGTAAAAGTGTGGAGGTGCTGTGTCCTTCACTCTGTTCTCCTCCTACATGGCCTGCTGTTAGTGTGTGTGTGTGTGTGTGTGTGTGTGTGTGTGTGTGTGTGAGTGTGTGAGGGTGGACAACATGGACAGGCTGCTGACTGGCTACAGCTGCTAAAGGAGAACCCTACGCTGGACACTTGTGATATTTTAAACATCTGCTATTTTTACATAAATTTTGGCTGTGTTGACTTAATAAAACAATAATGTGGTGGGACCACCAGACCACTGAGTAACAAACACATCAACACCACACAAGGGTTAATAGATAATTACTCAGGCGTCTCCAAAACTATTCGATCAAATCTATCAGTGCTTAATAGATCGCCTCTTTATTTCTGTGCACCCTGCTGCCAAGCTGTTCCCAGAGGAGTCACTGACATTGCTACCTTTCGAAGAGACACTAACATTCACACAAGCAACTGCCTGAACACATTTTAGCTGCCCCTTCTTTCTCATGTGCATCTAAAATGGCTAACGGAGATATTTTGGAGGAGATAAATAATAAGAAAAGGAAATTATTTGAAGATAGAGACAATCTGGTCAACCACCAAACCGTCGCCATCAGATAAACAGTGCTTACAGCTTTTATCTTTGAGACAGAAGAGAAACCCAAGGCTTACACCGTCTGTCTGATGTGAAGTCAGGTTATGGTCTGTAATTTGGATTATTTGTGTTGTGAGAAGCAGAAAGTGCGACCGACGTCTACGAGCTGAACCTTTCACGCGTTGAAAAACATCCCTGCAGATTACTGAAAAGCACGCAAGCTGTAATAAAGACAGAGTGAACTGTGGGACTGCTAAGAACATGATATTGGACGTTATTGTTGAGGCTTATTGCGTATTTTCCGCATGTTCCCTCCTTTTTCTTAACGCTGAAAAATGAATAGCTTAAAAGAAATGAAAGTACTGTAGTTTTAAGAGTGAGGAATCAAAGTCAGCACCAGATTCACTATATTAGGCACAGTGTATTGAAATAAGCATCAGTTCATGTTGAAGAACAGTAGAACCGTACTGGTACTTTTACTTTTGTTGTCTTAGTGGTTTCCACGGCCAAGTTGTAACATAAAGTTACTGCAAAATCAAGCTGCTTTGATTTCTTATCTGCCACCATCAGCCTTGTGCTCGGGCTTTGATGAAAATTGAGCATGTCTTTCAGCGATTGGTAATGGAAAATGAAACCATGAGATGAGTTACGTAATGTGTCAATTGTTAAGACGTCACCTAACCACAGTTTAGATATATTTAGCTATTGTTTGATGTATAATTATCATATATTCTTCGACGTATTTGTGAAAAGAGTGAGTTGTTTTCAAATCAGCTGCATCAGAGTTAGAAACAGAGGCTGAATGCAAAGTGTGCTGTCTTACCTCTTTGAGCTGGCGGTGGTTTGTGAGGACGAAGTCTCTGTGCTGGTGGGTGGGCTTGACAAACGGTAGAGTTAGTCACCTCTATCAGATATGTGGAGAAAAGACACAAGCATGGGCAGAGAGCGTGTCTAGTTCACGGCAAATTACGTGGCAACAGACCTGTTGCTGAGCAGTTTACACTGGTGGGAGAGAAGGAGTACAAGAGTGACTGTAGGTAAGCTAAGCATCGGTAGATGTTTTCTTTCAGTGTTGGGGCTATAAAATGGAGGTTTATAGACTGTATATAGACTGAACAGGTGTGTTCAGGCAAGAGCTGATCGATTTCCCCCATCCAGTCCATTTCAGTGCTTTAGACAGTTTAGGTATGTGTGCTAAGATCATTAAAACAGTTAGATCAAGTTTGAACTGACACTCAGTCTTTCAGAGAAGAGGTGGTCACCCTCTTCCTACGAATAGCCACATTAATACCACTCGTGTATTTGTGCTCATGTTTGGGAAGTCACATGGGCCTAGTGGTTGTCCTTGTGGCGAATAAACGTTTTCTGGCCTGTTCTCAGTTTTTTTTTTTTCTTGTTGTGACGCATGTTCACTTAACTGGATGTATGCCTTTTAATTCTGCTCTGCACGCATGACAATATTTTGGCACCTTAATGATTAATAACGAAAAAGAAAATGTTATGCCTTTTAATATTTTTAATAGATCCCAAAAAAGACAGCAAAGATGAACAGCAAATTAATATGTGAAAAACAATATGCAAAAAGTGATTTTTTAACTGAATTAAAGGCAGTGAAGCACACGCTGCTTTCATAAGTTCACAACTGCTTCATAATTTAAAGCCTTAAAAGCACATTTCATGTTTCATGTTCTGTGGGCATTTATATATATATATATATATATATATATATATATATATATATACATATATATATATATATATAGGTGTTAACCTAGTGCCCAACTAGGTCAACGCCTTTAACTATTCGAAACTGATCACACATATTAGAATAGAAACTGCGCTTAGCTAAAAGCCAACATGCCCTAATTTAAAAGCACACCAGTGTTAGACTTTTTAAGATTTTCATCATGCTTCAAAACAAAAGCAAAAGACAGAACAAATGCACAGTAAATTTCAGCAATAACATGAAAAATCAATACGCAAATTTATACCTTTGTATTAAATATATAGACAGTCATTCCTGTTGTAAAAAAAACCTTTTCAAAATGGTAAAATGTTTAACTTTTTCTGTGACAAGATTTTATTCCAGATGATTTTAGACCATTTCTGTTGGTCTGTTAACCCTAAAACGTTCGCGCAATGTAAAGGACAGCTGGCATTTTTAAATGATATGAAAACCATATGAGGTCTTGATCTGACTCCAATGTCACAAAGACCCCGACTACTTCACAGGATGAAGCCTTTAGTTTTGAGAGCTGTTTGAAACTGATGACACGGATTAGAATAGAAACTAGGCTGAAAGCTAAAAGCCAACATGCCCTCATCTAACAGAATAAGATTTTTATGACGCCTTCAAAAAAAAGCAAAAGACAAAACAAACGAACTGTAAATTTAAGAAAAAACATGAAAAATCAATACTCAAATTTGTGCTTTTGTGTATATATATATATATATATATATACACACATATACATGTATATATACATATATAAACATACATAAAAGCAAATAATTTTAGACCATTTCTGTTGGTCTGTTCACCATTAAATGTTCACTCAATGTAAAGGACAGCTGGCATTTTCAAATGAAATGTGTATCTATGTGTGTGTATATATATATATATATATACACACCAATCAGGCATAACATTATGACCACCTCCTTGTTTCTACGCTCATTGTTCATTTTATCAGCTCCACTTACTGTATAGGTGCACTTTGTAGTTCTACAGTTACAGACTGTAGTCCATCTGTTTCTCTGCATACTTTGTTAGCCCCCTTTTACCCTGTTCTTCAATGGTCAGGACCCCCATGGACCCTCACAGAGCAGATACTATTTGGGTGGTGGATCATTCTCAGCACTGATGGTGTGTTAGTGTGTGTTGTGCTGGTACGAGTGGATCAGACACAGCAGTGCTGCTGGAGTTTTTAAACACTGTGTCCACTCACTGTCCACTCTATTAGACACTCCTACCTTGTCAGTCCACCTTGTAGATGTAAAGTCAGAGACGATAGCTCATCTCTAGCTGTACAGTATGAGCTAATCATCCTCTAGTCCTTCATCAGTGGTCACAGGACGCTGCCCACAGGACGCTGCCCACAGGACGCTGCCCACAGGACACTGTTGGCTGGATATTTTTGGTTGCTGGACTATTCTCAGTCCAGCAGTGACACTGAGGTGTTTAAAAACTCCAGCAGCACTGCTGTGTCTGTTCCACTCAGACTAGCGCAACATATAACACACCACCACCATGTCAGTGTTACTGCAGTGCTGAGAATGATCCACCACCCAAATTATACTTGCACTGTGAGGGTCCATGGGGGTCTGACCACTGAAGAACAGGGTTAAAGTCACAGACTACAGTCTGTAATTGTAGAACTATATAGTAAGTGGAGCTGATAAAATGGACAATGAGTGTAGCAACAAGGAGGTGGTCATAATGTTGTGCCTGATCGGTGTGTGTATATATATATATATATATATATATATATATGAAGGACAGCTGGCATTTTCAAATGATATGGAAACCATACGGGGTTTTGATCTGACACCGATGTCACAAAGTACCCGACTACTTCACAGGATGAAGCCTTTAGTTTTCTGAACCGTGTGAAACTCATGACTCTGACTGGAATTGAAACTGCGCTCGTCTAAAAGCACCCCCATCTCCAGCAGCATGTCTTTTGGAATGGGCCTGGCGTGGCGAGAAACATACACCTTCTCCAGCTGAGAGGACATGGGTGAGGGCACATACTTAGAGCAAGTGGGGCCAGTTAAACTTGGAATGCAAGTCACTATGACTTTGTAGTACAGAAGACCGTGGTTCAGGTGACAGAAGTTGTCCTGTACCCCAGCTTTTAGCTGGACCTGGCAGGCCCCCAGGCGGTCATCATCCCATTTGTTGTCGCGGTCCCACGTCTCTAACTTCACAGAGGTGAACTGAGTCAGGTCGTTAATGTCAAGATTGAACTTCCAGTTCCAGGTTGGGTGAATTTCGGTTCCAGATCACAGGTGTTTCTCCCACAACGATCTTGCCATTGCGCAGGACCTTGACGTATCCATCGGTCTGTGAGAAGTAATCTCCCCACAAGCCGCTTGCTCTGACTGCAATTACAGTGACTCTGGCCAGTCCACGGCGGGCGGGACAGCAGTCATTGTTGACCCCCGCGTTGTTGTGGCAGCTGCAGATGCACGGCTCCTTGGGGTCGGTTTTGATGCCGGCTTTGCAAGGTTTCGAGCAGTTTTTCACCAGGCCTCTCTGCAGGATGTAGTCTTTAATGGCGTTCCGTAAATGCTCCCGAGTGGGCTTGTTCTCGGGCAGCAGCTCATGGAGGGCGTCGAGGGAGTAGGAGATGATCTCGGGGTGTTGGGGCAGGGAGGAGAGCCAATCCTTGTAGGCAGCAGGGTCTTTATCCGAAGAGAATAGAAGCTCAGCGTTCTCAGTGTGTCCACCAATGACGTCGGTGACCCTTTTAGGACAAAACAGCATGACGAATGAAGTTGGGAAAAAATGCAGGGTGCTGGTTAAATCTCGAGACAGATAATTCAACAAGAATATTTGTATATCGCAAGAATATTCGTATCTCCAAAATGGTAACTTTACAGGAGAAGAAAAAACCTACTTTACTTTTAATGGGAGTCAATGGAACCAGACTTTTTTCCAAGTCATTTTGGGCCGTTTCTTTTGGTCCGTTTATCATGAAATTTGCATACAGTGTAAAGGACAACAGGCGTTTTCAAATTATGTCAAAAACTACGTCAAAAAATGGAGATACGAGGTTTTATTCCAACAGCAGTGATATAGACAATAGAAGTATATTATTTAAAATTTTATAATAACTTTATGTTGTTGTCAAAATACTTTTAAATCATGAATGAAATATTTTTTGGTACCTTGTATACTGATATTACATTGTTATCATTATATAGAAATTACCGCATGTATTAATTCATCGTGTATATCGTTGGTGTCGGGAGAATACCTCGTATCTCCATTTTTCATTTTTTGACTTAGTTTTAAAAAGGCAGTTGGCCTTTATGTTGTGTCACAACTTCATGATGAACAGACCAACAGAAATAATCCAAATTTAATTGGAAAAATCTATTTCTCCATTCATTTCCATTAAAAGTTAAGAGCGTTTTTCCTACTCCTGTAAAGTTTCCTTTTTGGAGATACAAGGTTTTGTTCCAACAGCAGTGATATGCAAGGGTGAAGTGTTTTTAGTTTTTTAGAAATTTTAAGGTACATAGACATGACATATACATTGACATCCAACAAAATAATGTCTTATTTGCTTATTTGAATTTTTTGCATAGTTTACATCAAACGGATCATGTCATACCATGCTATAATGTGATGGGGCTATCTACATATCACATGTCGGAAGAAAACCTCGTATCTCCATTTTTTCTGTTTTTGACATTATTTGAAAATACCTGTTGTTTGTTACATTGTGTGGAAATTTAATGAAAAATCGACCAAAAAAAAAAACGGCCCAAAACAACTTTGAAAAAAGTCTGGTTCCATTGACTTACATTAAAAGTAAAGTAGGTTTTTTCCTTCTCCTGTAAAGTTACTATTTTGGAGATACAAGGTTTTGTTCTGACAACAGTGATATATGGCCCATCAAACACCAGGAGTTCTCTACCCTCTCTCTTCTGGAGTATATGTATGCAAATGAGTTGAGCAGTGGCCAATCAAACTGTTGATTTGCAGATTGGTAACCAACTGCGTCTTCCATAGTCAAGCACCATGCTACCTAATGTAACGTGGGTTGTAAAGTTAAAAAAACAATATTAGGCACAAAACTGGCCAACAACTGCATACGTTTTACTCTGGACTCAAAACTGTGTAGCAGTTGGTGAGGGAAGCGATTTGGCCTACTGTAATGTACGTGGCTACTCCTTGGGCCAGATTTTCGAAAGCTTGCTGGTT